CTATTATATTCTTCTGTCGTAACAATGGATACGCCATCAGTACGCCCACGTCAGAACAGTACGGAGGAGACGGTATCGCTGGCAAAGGAGCGGGTTACGGATTGCACACTATTCGGTATGTTTTTGCTGGTTGTAGCGATGATTAGGTGGCCAGTCAATATTTGGATAAACTGATTGGATAGCAACTGCTCTCGAGGGCATGTCAATCGACGTGGGAGGGTTAAATACCAACCGAGAGCACGGGATACCATACGAGTTTGATACCGAACCGTTAGATGCCTCCATTGGAAGTGTCGACGGAAACGAACGTGTTCGCGGTTTATAATGCAACGAAAGCAGCACGTGAGCTTGCACTCAAAAAATAAAACGCCGTCTCATAGAATCGATGACCTTAGATTGGGTCATCAGTGTCTACCAGTGATGATTCGAACTGTCGTATAGGTTGGCTACAGTTTAAATTTTTGTGATTTTGTTTTCAAGGCTACATTTTTTATGCATTTCTGCCTTGACTCTGTTTATGTCTTCTATCTCGGGACGTACTTTCTAAAGGCGAGAGAGAGAGAGAGAGAGATGAGAGATGAGAGAGAGAGAGAGGATGAGAGCAAGAGAGAGAGAGAGGGACAAAAGTTGTTGTAGGAGGGGCAATCGGCCTTTCTGATAGGCTACTCGGGCCCTACTTCTGCTCGCTTAAGCCTTTCAACGAGATAGTTTTCGGTGAGTTTGAATGACGCGCTGTAGGGCACGGGCGAGCAGAAGAAAGGCCCTGGCTTCTCTCGACTACCTGTTCCCGTTCTCCAAGGGGCTTTTACTTGTCGGCCATTTTTGATATGCTACAGTCTCACGAAGAGGTGGGGCAGGAGTGACCGATAAAAATCACCCCAATAACGCGGTTCAAACACTATATCACAGAAAAAGGCTGGTGGATTACGACGAAGAAGAGAAGAAGTGGCAGACAGATGTTTTGTTTTGGCTTGAGGTAGCTTTCCTGGTCTCCGAATCTTCGTGCTTATTGCCCTTTTTAGTGCCGCAAGCGGATTTTGAAGGCGTTCGGTGAAGCTGAAAAAGAGAAATGGTCTCATTATCATGATATGTTCGAGGATGTGTATAGGTTCGTCTTCTTTTTGCCATGATTTTTGGGAGTTCGTGAGGTTTCATACATAGTGTTTATGCGGCAAGGCTATGTTTGTCAGAATTCGCCGGGAATCAGCAATTGCGCGGTGCTGTTGGGCCTTGGGCAGAATACACTTTGAGCTTTCCGCTGTTGCTTTTGCCGTATTAGTCGTTGGCGTTTTAATTACCAGCTCAACGTTACTAAGGCGGCGTTCAGAATCAACGTAGCGGCAATGCTTCCAATCGCGGCGCCGACGGACGATCGCATGCCTTCCACTACGACGGGTCAGCGCCGAAACCACCGCGAACCGAAGCGCGCTGTTGCGCGAAGTCTGAACGCTGCCTAAGACCTGTAAGCCCTTGTCAAGTGTTCGCGATGCTTATGCTACTGAATCTTTTTACAGGAATTTACAGTTCCATACGGAAAGCATTGGCAGTGATCGATGGAAACCACCTAAAATGCCCCCACAAAGCCTAATTTATCTGAATTTGCGTTTGATTTCGGTGGTTAGAGTCAATTCAAGGTTGGTATGTAGTGGAATGTGCCCGGCTATCTTCGATCCACGTTGCGGCACAGAAGACCTCGCAAGCGGGGTGACGTGTCGCACCGGCTTCTCACAGTTTTGAGGCTGCATTGCTCCATTCTTTGAGACAACTAGAAAATGCTTTGCTTGCTTGTGCGCGTCTCCGCGACGTGGAACTAACGGCCCATACGCAACAGTTAAGTGGAAGGTGCGGAGTTTCTGAAAGATCACCAGGGTACAGCAGTATGACGTGATGTGTGAATGAAGGCTCGCATGCGAGCCCCCCCCCTTCCCACTGGACATGGACCTACAATTACGCACACCAGTTTTTCACCCCAAGATTTTCCGTCGAGCGGGTGAGAGGGGCATATAGTACACATAAAACACGGAAAATCGCGCGAAAACTCAACAACCAGGAAAAATTGTTCCGCAGCAAATTGCCTTTGAAGGCACATACGACAACCCCCCCCCCCCATTCCCAACGACCACATACAACCCTCCCCTCCTCCGCGGAAAAGAACGACCCCCCTCTCCCCTCCCCGATGTGTATCACACAACGATGCTCTACCCTGAAGGTGACTGAGGACCGGAGGCGAAGAGTCCGGTCATTGCCCCTTTTGAATGAAGGGTAAAATTTCATGGGCGGTCTTGGGTAAAAGTCAGTGTTTTGTGGTTTCAAATGCATAGCAGGAATGTAAATGGTATAGAATTGGACTTGGCGGCAGTGCGTTCTGAGGGGGGGGGGGGGGTATACGTTATGCTTCCCTCCTTTCTCCTAATAAAGGCCTAAGCTTATTGTCAATCTCGCCGCGCCCCTCCTAACTGTTTTAACGCCTTGTTCTGTCTCTTAAGCTTATAGTCAATCTCGCCGCGCCCCTCCCAACTGCTTTAACGCCCTGTTCTGTCTATCTTTGTTATGTACAGACAAAATATTGTTAATTTCTTTATGATTTAGTGAAATGCCGAAGCACGTCAAGCGCCAAAGGGATGAGTTCGACGCGTTCATGAATGAATATAAACAGCATTACCCAATGGACAGATGTTTGCCCAAAAGTGCATAGATTTGTGGCTACTCATCATGAATAGAAGATAGCAGTAGATCATTAATGAATCTGATAGTACCTCATGCTCAATATATCCTTCATATCCTGTTGCCAGTACTCTTTGCTATACTTTTTTTATTCAAAAAACAATATAACCATTTTTTGTGGATTGTTGTGGCAAATGGCCTTTATTCCATAAAGATACATAGGGTTAGCCTCGCCTTAAAAATAGATAGCTGTTGCAAAAAATTCAACATTATTTACTAGCATAGATGTTATGGAAACCCCCTGTGATTCGCCAAAGGTTTTGTTTATTGTTTATCCAATTGTTATTGTGATTGGCTGGGAAATGTGGTGGTTGTCTTAAGCGGTCCTGAGTGTAATCCTCTCCCATTCGATGCATTTACGTTATATCGGCCAGATTATGACTAGATATTATTTTAACTAGCACAAAAAAGCTCAGTATAACAAACAACCAAAGGAAGAATTCGTGTTATCGTGCAGATAGGGACTGATTGACTGAAACATCAATATTTGGAACATATCAAGTTATAAGCTATTTGGAGGAAACTAATAAAGAGTGTGTATATCGTGTTTTAGAAAATAGACATATGGTTTGCTCCGTCGATATTTAGTCCATTGGCCAAGTTGATTTTTCGTTTAATAGGTTTTTTTAACTATCAGGGTCTTTTTTGTGGCTTGAAAAGCTTCCGTGAGACGGATTCCCACAGGTGCGTCTTTTCATTTGTACCAAATAGTCTTTTTAATCATAATTTTCCGGTTAATATTGTCAAATTTAATATACTGTAGAACACTGCTAGCTCTGAACTTCATGTAATATTGTTTGATAGATGCTTT